CAATCCGAAATCGACCCACCTAAAAAGAACTTTATATATCATGTAAATGTACTGAGGTATTCATTCAATTGAATCAGATTTTAATTCATTCTCCATTTTCACGTTTTCCCTCCAATACTTAGATTAATTATTTGAAAATCATTTTTCTATGAGTAATGTTATTCATTCCCAGTGGGGATGAAAACACAATTTAGGTGGATTTAAATGATAGGTTAAATGAAATGTGAAATTAAATGACTTATTTAATTTCACCTGACATTTAATACCACATTAACGTCACGTAGACTGTGTTTTCATCCCCAATGGGGATGAATAGCATTACTTTTATCCTATATAATAAGGCTAGCTTGATGTTGTTAATTATTGGTGTAATGAAGGGTTTACTAGAGACAAGTATCTTTAGCCTCTTGGATTGTCGAGAGAATCGGGACTCGTTTCCTTGGACTCTGGTTCAATTTAACTTCACGTGGACTTTGATATTCAATAACTCACTGCTTGTTGAGCATTATATTACCTTGGTGACTCCTCTGGACTTTTCAACTCTCTCTTTGTTTGGAAATAGACCATGTTTATCCCGATTAAACTGATATTCCTTTTTCATTTCCGAAATGTGACGTGTCAAACAGAAAAAAAATGCACTTTTCCAAAGTTCTTGGAAATTATGTGGTTTCAGAGCTTGTCTGTTAGATTGTCTCTGATAGAGATAGCTAAGGTACATCTCCAGCATAACAATAACTTTGTCTCCAATCAAATGTTCAGGTATAGGCTATCAATAAGTAGACAGTATTAAATGCTAAGACCTTGTTGATAACCGTAGAAGCTCACTCTGATTCATTCTCAAATTTAGAAATAACCGCTATAAGTTTTAATCTAATCAACTTGTTGAAGTATAGGATGCATAAGAATGACTGATATTTGGTATTGATGCATCCAAACATTGATGTTTGATAGATAATTGTTGGGGTTTAAATGACTTCCTTTCATCTCTGAAATTAATACAACACCACAGGAAGCACATTTGCACCAGCAGAGAAAGCAACCAGACAGAAGAAA